CTGGGGTGGCTCAGATTAACTTGGAAGCCTCGGGGAAATGAAGAATGAGAGACAGAGCCTGGGACTGTGCCTTGGGCTTGTTTATTCAGCTCCCAAGATAACGAAGGCCACGTTATTCCCTGCACGCACTTGTATGCTTGCTCTGGGATGGATGTCCCACCACCCTCCTGTGCTGCCACAAATACTTCCATATCCAAAGGCTGGATTTCCCCAGGGCTACTTTTCTGGATGCTCCCAGGTACAGCATGTATCACTCACCCTGCAAAACAACCCTCCTTCAATGATGCTCTGCAACTCTCTCCTTTCACCTGTGTGTCATGAATACAGGTCAAGAACGGATAACTGGTTCACAGGCTGGTGTGCTATTGGTGCCATGGACCAGATATCCTCCATCATTTTTTGTACTGTTCTCAGGGGCTGCTGGAAGCCACCCAGAAGTCGGTGAATTGAAGAAGGTTGGGTTTGGAAACCTTGTGAGATGAAAGATGCTGGTGTATATTGATATCATTTATTCGCAAGGCAGACAAGTGACAATCAAATTTTCTCAGCTCTCAAGAGATGGATAGATGCTATAGGCAGTATATTAGTCTCTCTGGTGGCAGAGTAAGCATGCCAGGCTGTGAGGGTGCATGCTGAGATGTGGTTCTGGTCACTGAAACAGAAGGATGGGAATGAGTCTGGACACTTGTGCCTTTTCTCTTTGCTTTTCAGTGCAGCTTTGTCCAGTTCTCAGGATTTTGATCCAAAGGCTCATGCAGTGCCTGTGTAGCAAGGGAATATGCCCAGCTCTGATCAGTGCTGGGACAGATTCTGCTCCAGTAAGATGTGATGGGGTTGCTCGAGTCAACTGAGTGGTGCTGGTTTAGCATCCAGAGGGACCATGTGCACTTAAGTCAGAGAGGGTCCCAAAAATGTCCTAGTCCTGTAATACTCATTAACCTCTTGTCCTTTGGGGTTCTAATTTACTCTGGATTCTGAAGTGCCAAAAAAATCAGCACAAATCTTTATAGATCCTAAGGGAAGACCAAAGAGAAGAAAGATTGACAGATCATTAAAAAATAAATTTAAAAGCAGGTAAAACCTTAGCCAGGGTTTTGATGGGAAAGGCAATGCTCCAGCATGGCTTCAAGCTCCATCCTTGCCTCGGTGCCAAGCAGGATACCTACAAACATCACAACCTTACATAGCCCACGGGGACCAAATGTCAGACTCGTCCCATCCTTTCTCAGGGTGCCCGTGAGCTGCCGGGTGACAGATGCTGTGTTGTTTCTCCAGGCATTTCCAGAGCCCTTTGCTCACTTGCCTCAGGAGTCTGAAGAAAATTTTCTGGCAGTTACAGCTTTCCTGCTAGTGGTTCCTTGTGAATAAGGGCAAAGCATATTCCTCCGTTAGTAAGGATATTTTGTTTGATATCCAGGGATTTCTTACAGGGCAGTGGGAAATCCCAGGAAAAGAGGATGAACTTGATCAGAGGATTTTTTTGTTTGTTTTGTTTTTTTTTTTTTTTTCCCACTCTGCTAGGATATCAGATGTATGTCAGAAGCAGAAGGAAAACAGAGGGAATGGGAGATGGGAAGACAGGCAGAGAAAGGGGATCTTGGCATCTTGGCACATCTGAGCTAGTGGGGACAGATCAAGGTAAGGTTGTTTTGAGAGGTCCTCCAGAAGGCAGTATGTAAAGATGAGGGGGTTTGTGTGTGTGTGTGTGTGTGTGTGTGTGTGTGTGTGTGTGTGTGTATTTGTGTGCATGTGCATGCATGCACATAAAAGAGTGCCATCCCTTGGCCCAATCCAGCCTGCTGCAATCCTCAGCATGGATGTGGGGCATGTTTAGTTCTAATTTAGCTCAGCAAAGCTTTTAGACTACAAAATTCACTGGAACCAATGCAGAATAAGTTCATAAACACCTTTGGTATTCCAGGTTCCAGCTGCGCATTGGTTCCTACCTGGGTCTATCTAGACTTCTGGCAAGACCTGACTTGTGCTGTGTTTCTGAGCCATGCCCGGCACAGTAGATTTCTTTGCTACCAGTGGGCTTGGAAGTGCTGCCACATGACATATGCTCAGCAAAAGGAGCTAAATGCTCAGAAAAAAATGACTGGCATAGGAAGAGAAAGGCATGAGTGGCAACATGGTCTCCAAGCTGGAGGAAAGGGAGGGAAAGGGATCAAGGAGGGATGTCTTCCAGCTACATCAAGGCTAGCTAGACTCTTGATGTGGCTACCAACCCAGGAACTTGGGCAAATCAGACGACTAGAATCTAGGTGCATGGTGCCCAGCACAGGAGCATTAACTCTTGCATTTAAACATCACCTCTTCATCTGCAGGTTGCAATGTTTTGTATACTTCCCTATCTTGGGATTTTGGTGATTTAAAGCATAGAGGTGCTGCTATCAACACAGCTACCCATTGTGTCTCTGACACATATTGAGCCAAAGAAGCAGGTGCTAAATACACGAGTATTTATTTATTCTGTGTAAAAATATACATAGAGAGATTCCCATTTCAAGTAAGATCACATGAAGGAGAAAAAAAATATATATGTTTATGTTCCTTATGCTAAAACCTTCCAGATGGAACTGCATTCATGGGAAATCAATTCTGAGACCTAACAGCCATAACACAGTGTCCCATTAACAGGTCTGCTTAGTTAGAGTTTGCTGTCTTTCACAGTGCTGTTCCTGGAGAGGAATCAGCAGGGCAGGAGGGAAGCACGTTGTGCCCGCTGCATCCTTATGCAGCAGCAGGCGTGAGAAAAAAACGGGTTCGCAGAGGGCAAGAGCCTTGGGCTGGATCCCACGCGCTGGAGTTGCCCTTCGGCACTGGATCTCGGCGCGGCGCTGGCTCCTAACCATCTCGTTGCCATGGAACCACAGATGGCTCTCGCTTCCGAGCTGGAGACAGGGATGTTTCTTCCCGGGCTGCACCAGAGGTTAAGATTATCCAGGCTGGCTCATCGCTATGAAGGTCGGGTGGACTTTGGCTTTGCAAACAGCTGTGACTGCTTCCCAGCAGCGTGAGATGCTCACCAGGGTCTGCCCACAAGCCAAGGAGAGGCGAGCTGGCTCTCCCCTCCTCTCCACTCTCCTTTCAATATGCAGCTAAACAGGGATCCTTCACTCCCTGAGCTGACATTTAAAGTGTTTATAGTCATTTGGAGGCAACCCCTACTGCTAATCATGATGACCTCTTTGCAAACGAATCATTTGCCTGTAATTTTCATTGTGGCTAAGCATTGTTTTTCCTCTGCTAAGTGGGTGGCTTTCCTGAAATCCAGCCCTTGAGAAATCCAGGAATTTGGCGCGGTGCATTTTGCACTGCAGAGTTTTGCAGGCTGAAAACCAGTGTCAGGACTGGGAGTCAGACTTGTAAAAAATTTAAGTGCAAATGCATTTGGACTCCACGCTGGTTAGCGTCAGGTCTAGCAGACAGCAATCTGCTGGCAAAGACAGCAGTGATTTGAAGCTCCACTGAAACCCCGTTTGCAAATAAATTGTTGGACTTTTTAATTTCCTAACTCTTTCTTTCCCATATAAGGCTTTTTGCAGGAGAGGGCTTAGCTGCATGAATTCTAGTTTTACTGAGCATTTATCAGGCCACTATAAAAGCTTCCTCTGTTTGCAATCAGGGGTGGGAGAGGGCAGAAGGGAAATGAATAGCATGAGTAGCATGGACAGATTGTGGCATGACTTTGACCCTAATTCCTTCCTGGCAGCATTAGCCTGGTCCCTGATCTTTGAGAAACGTGTCCCCATTGATCTGAGCTATTTCTGGATTGCAGAGCAGAACAATATTAGTGGCTCAGAAATCTGGCAGCATGCAACAAGGTCCTCAATGCATACACCCTGAGCACTTTTACTTTTCTCTGTCTGGGGACCATGGAGGCCCCTTGAAATCAAGGCTGTGGTTTGCATTTGGTAGATAAAATCTTAGTAGTGCAAATGTGACTGCAACAGTCAGATTTGTCTTTCTGAACTCAGGTAGCATGAGATAAGGGCAGCCCTCACCTAAGAGGAAAACTCTTCTCCCTTGGGTAGACCAAAAGAACAGCAAAGGAACAACAACCAGGTATCTGACTGGAAAGGAAAATGAATGATGGCTGGATGGCCAGCAGTGGGAGAAGCCCTGCACAGTGCATTCAGCATCTCAGCCCCAATATCTAGTGAAACAGACCATGCCGCCTAAAAAAATCCATAAGTGTCACCTATGTGGAAGAGTCTTAGGGGGCTGAATGTGGCCCTGGGGGTAGTGGAGAGCCCTTGGAGCCAGGAGAGATGCTCCCTGGTAGCTTTACCCAAGAGTTTGGAGCAGCATTGCAGGCATTGAGGTGTCCTCCATGCAGAAGTCCAAGGAAGAGTGATGCTCCCTCCCCGTGGCTCTGTGCAACAACTCTGTTTCCCTGTCTTGTTTTGGTGGGAAGGAGGGAGGAGAGTGAAAGAAAGGGAGAGAGGAGCAAAAAAAAAAAAAAAAAAAAAAAAAAAACAGTCTGGCAGGAGGAAGAGAGGAGGCAGAGCTCAGCTGCCCATGCTGCCTCCAGCTCAGCCTTCCCCAAGTGCAGCCCAGAGCAGCATCCCGGGTCAGTAAGGACGGCGGGGGGAAAGGAGGGGTGCTCCCTGGAGCAGAGAGAGATGGGGTTATCTTTGCGGAGACGGTTGGAAATCACTGCAAATTCTCTGTCTGGGTAAGAGGAAGGGGCACCCTGCAGGCTGAGAGCATCAGCGAAGGAGGGGGGCAGTCACCATCCCTCCCTGAGGGTCTGAGATAGGAACCTCTTGGCATGTAGAGACATAGAGATGGATGGGGATGGGAACATCCCGGTGTGGGGCCGGCAGCACGGGGCTGTACCCTCTGCCAGAAGGACTAACTGGGGGATATGTGTGTGTGGGTGGTTCGCGCTGATTCTCTGCCTTACAAAGGGTTAACCTGCAAAACAAACCCCTCAAACCTCTTCTCTTTCTCTCCCCTCCTCTTTCCCGTTCCCTTTTTTTTTTTTTTTCCAGGTGTTGTTTATGGCCACAGGAGGGAGCTCAAATCCAGATATGGGAGGATTGGCTTGATTTCAGATCCTGAGCCTCTTAAACTCTCACTTTTCCACTAAGCTGGTCCCTGTTATGTCCAGGATCTGGCACCTGCTTGACATTTACTTTGAGTTCCAGAGGACCAGAGACCTAGGATGAGGAGCATTGGATCTGCCCTGAACCTGCTTTTGGTATCGCCACTCTACTTTGTGTGGACCGTGGTTGCTCTGGACCTGGCACAAGCACCCTGCACCACTTTGGTCCAGGGGAAATTCTTTGGATATTTCTCCTCCTTTGCTGTCTTCCCATTGAACTCCTCTCTCTGCTCTTGGATTATCCAGAACCCTGACCCTCGGAGATACACCTTGTACATGAAGATCCTGAAACCTACCAGCGTATGTGACCACCAGCACATCCGCACCTACCAGTTTGACTCCTTCCTGGAGTCCACCCGCACCTACCTGGGCATGGAGAGCTTTGATGATGTGTTGAAGCTCTGTGATGGGTCCACCCGCTACGCCTTCCTCCAGTCCAACAAGCAGTTCCTCCAGATGAAACAGACCACACCACCAGGGCTGGAGAGCGGGCCCGTGCGATGGAAGCCCACGAAGGCTCAGGAGAGGGACTTCTCAGTGGAGTACCTAGTGGTGGGCAACAGGAACCCTAGCAAAGCCGCTTGCCAGATGCTCTGCAAGTGGCTGGACGCGTGCTTGGCCATCAGCAGCAGCTCCCACCCATGTGGCATTATGCAGACTCCATGCTCGTGCTCAGGAGGCGAGGTCCTAGATCAGGCCAGCGAGATTCCGGGGTTCACAAAGAAGAAGGAAGACTGCTATAAGGATGGGATTTACTTGGAGAACTGCATGAGCAGCCCAAAGGACAGCAGTGGCGTGGAGTCCCTGGGTGAGTGGAGTGCGGCTGACTACCTGGGAGTATTTGGGAGGAAGGGCTAGTATGTGTCTCTCTCCTGGGGTCCCACAATATCCTGCTCATCCTTGTATTCGAGTCTATGGATGCCTGATATGGAAACCTTCTTTTCTCATTGATAAGCAGGTCTGCTATCCCCTGGTGCCTTTTTATTAGCGTATATCAGGGATGTAGAGCACCTTCCCCTGAATGTGTCCCAGTTTGGTACCTCGTTTGTTTTACTTATCCTGCAGCCTCAGAGCTGCAGAGAGGAGAGTCTTAACCTGAAGGTGAGCAGCTTTCCAACACAAAAATGTCCTAGAAGAGCCAGGATCCAAGTTACCTTCCAAGGCAGGTATCAACCTTACTTGGGGAGACAGAGGGGGCATGACAGAAAGGAGGGAGAATTAGGATGAGATGCTCCTGAGAGCCAGTCTCTGCATGTGTCACAACTGCTTAACCTTTCTCGTGTCATTCTTGGGGTGGAAATGCCTTTCGTGAAAATCTTAACCGTACGGTGCCATGCAAAATAGAAGGCAAACAGAGGGCCAGAAAGCAGCGCTTATTTTAGTGCCTGTGTTAGATCCGCTCTGATATATTTATTCTTGATTCCCATCCCACCTGCCAGCAGGCAGGTTATGTAAAACGGAGGTGTGATCCTAAATAGGAGTCTAGGCAAGAGCAGGAGGGAGTCTTCAATTTTACAAAGCTCGGATCTTCTCCAGAATGAAACCCCAGGGTCTTGTCTCCCCAAAATGCCAGATTCAAATGCCCTTTGACATCAGAAGATGAGCTGTACGTATCTGGTTCTGGACTTGGTGGTTTCTGTCTGGCTTTAGCCCACTCGGGAGAGAAGTTCTGCATGTTTCTGTGGTAGAAAGAAGGCAGATTCACTACACAAGAGGAATGAGGTTCTCAGGTACAGGTCCAAGCTGTGCAGGGTGATTTTCCTGCAGACCTCAGTTTGGAGTTAGCCGAGCGATTAGTATAAGATCGGGTTTTATTGCTTCCATCAGTGTATTTTGGGGGGAGATTTTGTTTCTCACTGATCTGTGAATCAATAGATGGAGACACACAGCCGAGCCATAAATCCTGCAAATGAGGACTTCAGTGGTGCCTCTTTCCCTGGTTATGAGTGCACTGCGATATTTGCTCCTTGCATCTCAGGTTTCTTTGAGATGTCCTTTCCTCCTCCGTGAGCAATGTGTGCAGGGAACCATGCAGCCCTCTCTTTGGGGTGACACGAGCCTCTCAAGTCATGTGTTGAGCTTCATATTTGCTGACTGGGAGATCTATGCATTCAGCCCAAGCAACATGACCTTTTCCATTACAGCCAAAGGTGAATTTTAAAAAAAGATTTTCAGCACATCCTGGAGCATTCGAGCTTAATATTGGCTTTTGTAAAGATCTTTCCCAGTTCAACTTGAGCGCTTGAGTGTTCCTAGGAAATAAACATGAAAGAAATTCTGAGGTGGCTAAATCAAAATTCTTTCTGGGTGTCAAATATTTGTAGAGAGTGCAGATTATTTTTTTGCTGTCTGCTCACATCTGCCCCATATTGAGGATGCAGAATTAGCATCTTCATGGATAGATCGCCATTTGCATGGACATGTAGCTCACAAAGTGCCCAGGCTCTCTATGTGCTGCTTTATCTGTCGCTCTCTATTTTGTTTTTTTTTTTTT